AGGTCTCAGATCTACAAAAACTTGAGTGCAAATTAAAAAGGCGTGATCGGCCCCGCCATACTAAAGTCTATAGACACAGGATTTATTGTATTTTCCTAAATAGAGCAAAAATTGGTATTTGGGACCGACAAACCTAACTACATGTTCTTCAAACAAACTCATCCGATTTCATTACTTTGTTTTCTTTATCTCACAATAAAATTTAATATAGTAACTGTAATTACTGAAAAAGGAATTTTCTATCCACTAGACAAAGTATTATTTCTTAGTTTCAAAGCCGGCCCTAGCTTAGGTTCCAGGTTTGCTTCAATATATTGGCTTTTATTGAAACACGTGTATAGTTAATCAGTTATATAATATCGGTTCAAAATTTGATTTGCAAATATTAGGTACAGCAAGTTAAAAAAACTCATACGTTTAGGAGCCTTGTCCATCTATGTATGTCGTCATAAATTTGGTTGAATTCAAAAGCAATAATTTTATGTTATACATAACACATTTAAACGTCAAATTTTGTCATTTTCGGCAACATATTTCGTTCATTGAACGCTCTCTTATCAGCAAACACGAGAATTGTATTTGTGTCACAGTGCAATGGCTCAGAGGGAATGCTATAAAGTTCGTCATTGACTGATTGAGATTTATATCAAATGAAATCTACTGTATGAAATCGAATGATTGTTCACTTGGGGGTAAAATGCTGACTTAGTATAATTTCCCCTAAATACTTCCATATAAGTTTTAAAAACATTTTGCATACAATTGTTTTTGTTTTTGACGCAAATAGATCATTTTGTTTTTTTTTAATCAATAATTAAATGTCACTCCACTTCTTATCATGTAATTTCAATTATTTGGCTGTTTCTTAAATTACACAAGACTTCAACTTATTTACTCAACACACTGTTTTTGAGCAAGATCAATCCATAATAAAGTAATTGTAGGGGTTTAAAAAAACCAGTAAGGAAAGCTCAAAAGTCGGGCGGGGCCGACTATATGATACCCTACACCACTATGCATATTTAGTAGAGCTCTCGTAAAAAGGTTTATACAGCGCATTTCAGAGATATTTGGTACAAAATCAAAATCTATCTAATTCTATCATGTATTTTACGAACTATAGCTATCTCTGAACCGGGTTTCTCCAAATTTGACGTATTAGCTTCTAGACTGAATTCGGTCTTATGTACGAAAATTCAGGTGATTTGGGCTGATATTGACCATTTAGTGCACAATTAACCTGAAATCGGATGAAACATATATATGGTTGCTATATCTACATCTGAACCGATTTTCACTAAATTTGATGTACTTGCTTCTAGGCTGAATTTTGTCCGATGTACTAAAATTCAGTCCATTTGGCCTTATATCAATTTGGTGCACAATTAACCCGAAATCGGATGAAGATATATATGGGAGCTATATCCAAATCTGAACCGATTTCGATAAAATTACAAACAGCTATTTCTGGGCTGTATCTTATATCTGGTACCAAATATCATTCTTGTGGAGTGCATATTACGAATGCGAGAGGCTTAAACACCAAATCGGATAAAACATATATATGGGAACCGATTTTCTCCAAATTTGTTGTATTTGCTTTAAGGCTAATCTCAGTCACATGTGCCATTTGGGCTGGGCTGATATTGGCCATTTGGTGGTCAATTAACCCGAAATCGGATGAAGATATATATGGGAGCTATATCCAAATCTGAACCGATTTTCTCCAAATTTGATATTCTTGCTTCTAGGCCGAACTCGGTTGGGTGAGCCAAAATTCAGGTAATTTGGACTGATAGTGGACATTTGGTGCACATTTAACCCGAAATCGGATGAAGATATATATGGGAGCTATATCTAAATTTGATCCGATTCTTACCAATTTCAATAGGGTTCGTCCTTGGGCCAAAAAAATATTGTTTGGAAATTTTCATCTCAATCGGATAATAAATGCGACCTGCATTTTGTTCACAAGAATACATGGACAGACGGACGGACGGACGGACAGACGGACTGACATGCATAAATCGACTCAGAAAGTGATTCTATGAAGGTTCTCAAAAGTAACTATGGGTCTATCTCGTTTCCTTCTCCATGTTACAAACAAATGCACAAAGACATAATACCCCTACCACTATTTGGTGTAGGGTATAAATATTTCAATGAACTATATGTGGAAGTGTCAGAAAGAAGTTTAGTTTGATAAGGTCAAACAAAATTATGGAAAATGACAAAACCTTTCCTGCCTTTTCCCTTGGCAATGAACAATTTTTTCAGAATCAGAAGTCTTCTCCAAGCAAAAGAAGAAATCTGGGAGCAAAATCCTTGAAGATGCATTAGAAGTCATACCCAGGCGATAGAAATCATCGCGGTTGATATCGCTTTCTCACAGCGGAAGTTGCATCCTTCGCGAAGAAATGAACCACGCCCGCGATAATTTTAAGTGTGACTAAATAGGGTATAGAGCTTTACTTTTAATAATCGTGGAAGTCACTTCCTCGACAGGTTTGTTTTTTATACCCTCCACCATACATAGTATGAAGGGTATATTAAGTTCGTCATTACGTTTGTAACTCATCGAAATAATCATTTTAGACCCAAAAATATATATATTCTTGATCTGCGTTAAATTCTAAGCCTATTTAGCCACGTCTGTTGAAATCACGCTACAGTCTAAACGAATTAAGATAGGAAGCTAACATTTTGCACAGATCCCTCTTTTGTCTGCAGGCAGGTCAAGTTCGAAGATGGGCTATATCGGTCCACGATATCGTATAGCCCCCATATAACGGTACCCCCGATATTCGGTATGTTGATAATTTTAGCCAGATTTTCTAATGGAATGGTCTGAATATCCACACAAGAAGTTCCTTGTGGGTATTTTGTTCCTTGGAAGAGAATTATCTATATAAGTCCACGATATCGTATAGTCCCCATATAACGGTACCCCCCGATATTCGGTATTTTCATGATTTTAGCCACATTTTCCAACGGAATTGTCTGATAATCCACACAAGGAGTTCCTTGTAGGTACTTTATGCCTTGGAAGATAATTATCCATATAGGTCCACGATATCGTGTATCCCCTATATAACGGTACCCCCGATATTGGGTATTTTGATGATTTTAGTTACATTTTTCAACGGAATTGTCTGAAATTGTACACAAGGAGTTCTTTGTGAGCACGTAAACCCCTGAAAGGTAATTGTCTATATAGGTCCACAATATCGTATATCCCCCATATATCGGCATTCCGATATTAGATATTTTACAGATTTTAACAGAATTTTTAATGGATTTTATTTTTTTGAAAATTTTCTAATTCGTTCCAAATGGTGGAGGGTATTCAAAGTTCAGACCGGCCGAACTTACTGCTTTTTTACTTGTTTTTACTCCATATGTCCATCCATGTATTTTTGTGAACAATGAACAGGTCACATTTATTACCCGATCGAGATGAAACTTTGCACAGATCATTTGTTTGGCCCAAGAACGAACCCTAATGAAATTGGAGATGATCGGTCATTACTTAAGTATAGCTCCTATATATTCGCACGATTTGTTTTTTTTTTTTTGTGTGCACCAAATGTGTTTTATTAGTCCAAATAGCATGGAATTTGTCACATGCGAACATATTGAGCCTAGAAGCAAGTACTTCAAATTTGGTGAAAATCGGTTCAGATATAGCTATAGCTGTCATTTATATGTTTCATCCGATTTGGCGTTTAAGTCCCTTACTTTTGTAATATGCCAAAACAATGATAGCTGATACCAGAGATCGCATACAGCTCAGAAATACATTCGTTAAATTTTATAGAGATCAGTTCAGATTTGTATATGGTTTATACTTTATATATATTCATCCGATTTCAAGGTTATTGTGATCCAAATATATAATATTGGCTCAAATTGGATGCATTTTTCCATGTATCTATGCTCCAATACATATTTTTCTATCCTCAATAATTTGTAACACCTCGAAATATAAATTTTAGAACCCACAAAGTATAAATAAATATATATATTTTTGATCACCATAAAATTCAATGTCGATTTAGCGATGTCCGTCTGTCTGTTTATAAGTCTGTGGAAACTCCTCTAGCTTCCGAACGAAATGAAGTAAGTCCCTAAAATTATACTCATATGTGTGTTTGTTCTGCAGGACTTTTGGTATTGAAGGTCCACATTTTGGTATAGCCTCCATAACTATACCGACATATTAAAAGTTTTTTGGCTGCTTTAGTCATTTTAACCCAATTTTGTTGTAAATTGGCAGCATGTGCATAGAGCTGTCAATATAGGTCTAGGATTTTGTATAGTCCCCTTGTAGCGATACGTCCAGATATTTGGTATTTGGATGATTTGAGTCACACTTCAAACAGGAAATGTTTCAAATTTGGAATTTTAAGTTCCTAATAGATACTACATCCTATGACAGAAAATTTCTCATGCAGGTCCATGTCTTCGTATAGCTTACATGTCTTCGTATAGCTCCATGTCTTCGTATAGCTCCCCATTTTGATGTTTTAGCGACAAAATTTGCATATGCAGGTCCTCGTCTTCATATAACAACGTTTAACGATTTTAGCAGTATTTTTGAACGGTTTTTTTTTTTGAAAATGTGCAATTTCCTTCCAAATGTTGAAGGGTATTCAAAGTTGTTATATTAAACAAGTGCTATGTGCTTTAGCTATCTTAATTGGTACGACTATGCCCCCTCCCCACTTTTGACCTTTCTGTACTGGCTACTTATAGAAACCTAGTTTTTGTATGCAACACCAATATGAAGTATGGCAGTCATGTTTACCCCGTTTTCAGGGGTATTAATATAGATCAATATAATTACGAAAAAATCAAAAAATTATAGATGGTATCAACATTTTACATTTTCGAAAGCTACGACCAAAAATTATTGTAGACTAGTGAGCAGTGAAAAATTCATTAAGAGTATGTGCTGTTACAAATATTTTCAGACTCTGAAAAATTGCAATTCAGACTTTGAACAGACAACATTCAGTGACGGATATGTCTTACGATAGAAATTTGAAAATCTGGAGTGGTCCGATAGAGGCAAATCGTTTCGGGCCCAAGGATTCAGTGGGTTCCGTATTGCTTCAATATCTACTGGAAACACCCGATCATATAGCACAGGTTAAGGAAAATAATATTTTCAGTTTGTCCTCAACTAAACTAAAGATTATTTATCAGGTTTGCTATCAGACTGGAACTGAGTTAACAAACCGCCAATTCGCTTCGCTTTCAATTCAAATCGCTAAGTACTTCGAACGTAAAAAACTGCCGCAAGGCACAGTTATAGGTCTATGTGCAGGAAATAGTGACTACGTTACACCCCTCTTTTTGGGGACTTTAATGGCAGGTTTAACCCTAAGCACTTTGGATCCAAGTTTTGGAATTAATGGCATTAAGCACATATATTCGATATCGAAACCCAAGGTAATGTTTTGTGATGGAGATATCTATGCAAAGGTCAGGCAAGCACTACATGAATGTGGACTCACCTCCACGGACATTTATACCATACGAAAACATATTGAGGGAGTGTCAAGTGTTGAAGAGCTGCTGAATGATGAGAAGGACCTCAATCCCTCGTTGTATAAATGTCCACAATTGCTCGAAGGACCAAATCAAGTAGCTGCCATACTTTGTTCCTCTGGAAGTACTGGCTTACCCAAGGGTGTTAATATGTCGCACGCTGCTCTGCTGGCTTTGGGGGAATCATTGTAAATATCATTTCTAGAATTTTGCTATTCATTTAATTTCTTTTTCGATTTCTGTTTTCATTTTAGATTAGACAATGAGTCCTCAAGCAATCTACTATGTTTCAGCAGTTTATACTGGTTGTCGGCTGTCATAAGTATACTACGTTGCATTTTGACAAGAACAACACGCATTATATCTGCAAATCCATTCTGTCCGGAAGATTTCTTTGCGATTGTTGAGCGCTACAAAGTGACAGTTGTTATGGGTCCTCCGTCTCACATGGCAATGTGTTTGACCTCATCAAAATTACCAGACTCCGATCTATCCAGCATTGTGGAATATGGTGTTGGTGGTAGTAGAGTGTGCTATTCATTGATTGAAAAATTCAAGAAATATTCACCAAATGCCGTTTTCAATATTGCTTATGGAATGAGCGAGGTATGTGTCATTGCCTCGTCTGGAGAGGCAGAACCAACCAGTTCAGTGGGTAAATTGAAAACAAATATTGAAGTGAAAGTTATCAATGAACTTGGCAAAGCAATGGGTCCCAACGAAATCGGTGAGATATGTATACGTACACAAATACCCTCGTCGGGCTACTGTAATAATCCCGAAGCCACAAAAGCCATTTATGACAATAACTTGTGGATACACAGCGGCGATGTGGGTTACTTCAACAACAGCATGCAATTGTATATAGTGGATAGGAAAAAGGATATATTAAAATATAATAATTTTCATTTCACTCCCTCATCTATTGAACGAGTTCTCAGTGAAATACAGGGCGTGGCAGAAGTATGTGTTGTTGGAATACCAGATAACTGCATGGGATTTCTGCCGGCGGCAGCAGTTATAAAATCGTTTAATAGCACCATAACTGAAGCCCAGATTTACGAACATGCCTCAGAACATTTGGAACACTTCGAACAGTTACGAGGAGGTATTTACTTTGTTGATAATTTTCCTCGAACTATGTCGGGTAAAACTGTTCGCAGTGAAGTAGCCAAACTGTGTGAACAGTTGAGAAATGTGAAATAATTGAAGATTGAAATTTTTGCCAAAATAAATATTTACAGTTCGAATTTTAAAGAGTACTTGGGAATAATTTAATTTTTATGAGAATTATAGTTATCAAAAATGCTCAGAGAGGTACCAGACAAAGTGGACCGATACTACACATCTTGATGTTATGTTATCTAATCTAATGTTGTCTAATCGGACATCGGAGTTATTGGTATTCAAATTTTGAAATTTTATGGGGAGGAGGGAATATGTAGACTTACGAAAAGCTGTGCTCCAATATTTTTCATGATGGCTCCTGGCCAAATCCTTATTTAAATATTTCCACGGACACTGTCTCTACGTTGTCGGGCACTCAATTCGTTTTATATTATACTAGCTGAACCCGGTGCGCTTCGCTACCCCCTTCGATTTTATATGCATTCAACATGATATATATGAATATTCTGTGGTTTTAAAATAAAAGTGATATAATGTGAAGAATTTTGAAAACGTTTTAATTGTAATGTAAACAACCAATCGTTTGGTCTACCAACACGTCAGCCACTTCCAGCTGACCATGAGAAAAAAAGAAATATGCCAATTTTAGTCCGCATACCCGAAGAGATTGTCGTTGCGAGTTATTAATTGTCAAAGCAAATGCCAAGCGTACAGGAAACTGCAATCTTTTAAAATCGAACGGCATATTTTTTGGAATTAGAGGAATTCTTGATAATCGTAGCCTCAATTAAATTGTGTGTATTTTTATACCCGCCACCATACTATGGAGGGTATATTAAGTTTGTCATTCCGTTTGTAACACCTCGAAATATACATTATAGACCCCACAAAGTATATATATATATATATATATATATATATATATATATATATATATATATATATATATATATATATATATATATAGTATATATATATATATATATATATATATATATATATATATATATATATATATATATATATATATATATATATATATATATATATATATATATATATATATATCCTTGATCAGCATAAAATTCCATGTCGATTTAGCGATGTCCGTCCGTCTTTGGAAATCACTCTCTCTAGCTTCTGAACGAAATGAAGTAGGCTGATAAAACTCTACTCAAATGTATATTATGTCTGCAGGTCTTTTGGTATTGAAAATGGTATAGCCCCCATATAACGGTACCTCCCGATATTTTGTATTTGAATGATTTTAGTGACATTATTCACCGGAATTGGTTCAAATTTGGCATTTGCAGTTTGTAATGAATACTACAGCCTATGACACAAAATTGTCTGTGGAAGTCCACGTTTTGGTATTGCTCCCATATAATATTACCTCCCTATATTCGGTATTTTGATGATGCAGGTCCATATAGTCGTATAGACCCTAATACAACAACTACATTCGGCATATTTATACCCTACACCAAGGTATTATGTCTTTGTGCATTTGTTGGTAACAGGCAAAAGGAAACGAGATGGACCCATAGTTCCTTTTGATGATCTGCATAGAATCACATTCTGAGTCGATTTATGCATGTCCATCCATCTGTCTGTCCATGTATTTTTGTAAACAAAGTACAGGTCGCATTTATTGCCCGACCCAGATGAAATTTTGCACAAATCATTTGTTTGGCCCAAGGACGAACCCTATTGAAACTGGAGATAATCAGTAAACATTTTGATATAGCTCCCATATATATCTTCGTCCGATTTGCCTTTTATTGTCATATCAGCCAAACATGTCATATCAAACATGTCATATCAGCCCGAATAGTATGGAATTTTGCACATACAACCAAATTAGGCCTGAAAATAAGTATGCCAAATTTGATCGAAATTGGTTCAGATATAGCTATAGCTCCCATATATATTGTTCATCCGATTTGTCGAATTTGCCCTGCATAGCCGTAATATGGACTCCGTAGTAACGATATTCAAGGAAATATATCAAATACAGTCCAAAACCAAATTCCGCCACACACTCCAAATTTGAAGACTGTTCATATAACTGATCAATAGATATGTGCATACAAAATCTTAATTTTTTGGAGGTACCTCCGACTCTGATGCTTTATCTGCAGTTTCAAGCGAATTTTCAGAAATGTATGTAGCCTATGTTGCTTTCAGGCGGTCCTGTAGTATATTTGGAAATTTTCAACAGTTTTTGAGTCTATAAAATACAAACAAACAATCAAGCGTACAAAGATCTTTCTCTTTTATAGACATTTCAGAAGAATTATATGGGCTTTTCTATACAAACTTAACATTGAAGAGCATGTTTAGTGCATTGTAACTAGCGAACTGTTGCATTTCAACGCAATCTACACATTTCGCTAAAATGAACTGATTGAGGGACTGAACCTCTTTCTAAACTGCACTTGGAACAGGATATGCTGAATCGGAGGAATCTCTAAATTTCTATCTTGTATGCACATGTCATCTGATCGGTTACAGATAGGTGATCGACACTTTGGTATATTTTAGTGCCAACCTTGCTTTCCAAAATACTCCACAATTGTACAACGTATTGGTATCTGGAGGTTTTGGTGGCCATTGTGCACATGAAATGAAGCGAGGAACCTCATTTTGTAAGCATATTTGGGTGGCGAGTGTTGAGTGCGATGGAATATCCAAGGTCTGCGGCCAAAATGTTTGCGTGCCCAAGGCTTTAATACACCCTCCAGAAAATATTCGAGATAATATTTGGCATTTATTCTGATGCCACTGTCGTTTAATACGAGCGAAGAGCGACCATCGGCTGTTATGGCGGCCCACAATATCATCATGGCCGGCGCTTGAGTTCTGGTGGCCAACCGAAGATGAAATGTGCACCTTCCGTTGGCCACCAGCTGACCTCTTTGGCAAGTAAACACGATCATTTTGTTGGTAGTTCACCAAGCGAAGTAACTCTTTAGCTTTATTGAGTCTATTTTCTTTCTGTTGCGGTGTAAGTTCTTGCACTTTTTGGAATTTTAATGGCTTTACCCCGAGCCCATTTTTCAATATTTGCAGAATGAAATATTGCGATATGTTTGGCTCACGAGCCATTTTTCGGCCACTGCGACGCAGGTTTCGATCAAGTCGCTTCTTTTCTTTTCGAACCATTTCTGCTGATGTTGCTGTTTTCTTCCGTCCACTTCCCTGACGTTGGGCTACGCTACGGTAACGAGCGATGGCGCGTGACACAAAAGATTTATTCACATTTAAATGCTGGAGTGCTCTAAAGATAGCCACTTGTGGTTATCCAGCAAAATATAAAGAAATCACACTATCACGCTTGAATTCCATCGCGAATAACTTTCTTTCTGGAAAATTCTCACCAAAATGCTTTTGTAGGCTTGTAAACAATATAATGAGCTGTCAGTGGAATAATTTTAAAAGCTGTCGGGGGAGTGGCTTAGAAATGACAGCAGTCTGTTGAAACCCTGTATGGTTTCAATAATCCCATAATCATTTATTCCGTTCTCCCCACTGGCATCATCATCATTTCCCAATTTAGTGGGTCAATATGGGCTAATACCACTAATACAGGCATTGAAGTTACAATTGCCATAGTAAATGTTTTTAAAAATATATTCCGCCAACGTAAAAGGCCCTAGGCATGAGTATCAACTAAACCCCCGCCCCATAACGACAATGCTCCATTAAAATATATTCTCCAAAATTGAACTCTTTGCAAAAAATTGTCAGAACAGGGCCGTGTCATGACATACTTTAACAAAAGTTCCTCGATCGATCAAATGTCCTAAAAACCTCCATTCATATAAAAAAAGTATTCGTGCAAAGACGCCTTAAAATATTCCCATTCAAAATAATAAATCATAAAATCAAAAAGCTTTTTAGTTTTAATATTGGTAACATTTTTGTTTTATTATTGTTTTTCTTTTTTATTTATTGTTTTCTTATTTTTGTTTTTCTTTTTCAAAATGTTTTTCATTTTATATATTTTTTTCTTCCTGCTTCCGTTTTGGGCAGGACAGGACAGGAGAACACATACATTCACTTATATATAACACAGAGTATTGTGGTTGTTGCTATTAGATTTGAAATAAATAATAATGAATGAAGGTGGTGGGCAGATAGTTGGTGGAGATACATTACATTAGTCCAACTGTCTATGGATTTGTGGGTATTGTTTAAATGTTTGGGCATTGTTTTTGTATTTGATTGTGGTGGTGGCGGGGGGAAAATGAATGAGTTGTCCAGAGAGTTGGATATTACTTTAAATTTCAATATTTTACAATGACAATTTTTAAACTGTTCTTTACGTTTGTATTTGGCATTTAGTTAGATATTTGTTTTTTAATAATATACTTAAGGGAAAGTGGGGAGTACATTTTTGTTTTGAAACACTATTACAAAGAGAAAGAGTGGGGGTTTAATTATTTTTACAACGATTTGAACACGAAGACTTTTTCTATTTTTGTTTTTTAATTATTCGTTTTATTGTTATGTTTTTTTGTTTTGTGTATGTATGTGTTTTTTTGTTGCAAGACATTTTTATGGAATTAATTTTTCTTTGGTTTAAATTTGTTTTGTGGTAGTTTTAGTTTTATTTGTGTGAGTTTTTTTTTTGTTTTGTCTGTTGAAATAATTAAAAACCCTGTTTTTAAAAATAAATAAAAAATTAAATAATAATTATAATAAAAACAATAATAATATTTAAAATTATTACAAAAAAATAACATGTTTTTTCTTTTTTGGATATCAAATACAACTTCGTTTCAAATACAACTTTGTTTCTTGTGGTTTCTTTGTTGTTGTTGGGGTTTTTTTACATTGTTTATTTTCATTTTACAAATAATAATACTTTGTGTATGTGAGTGTGTGAATAGATGTGTTTTAATGCTTTTCTTTAGTAAGTTAAGAGATTTTTTTTGGGTTTAATACATAAAATGTTTAACAAATTTTCAAAAAATCAGTTTGACTAGTGTGTGTGTGGATGTGCAATTATATTTTAGTTTCCTTGATTTTTTTTTTTATTTAATTTTAGGATTTGTTTGCGCAAGGTCTGAGAGTTGGTTTTTTTTTAAATAAATAAATAAAAAATTATTAACAAAACAAAAATAAGATAAATTAATTCTACTTAACATTTTGTGTTCCTTAAAAAAAGTTACAATAAATTATTTAGTATTTTTTGTGTGAGTTATTTGTTTGTTTTTCTAGTTTATAAAAATTAGAGTTGGTTTCTTTTTTTATGAAGTAAATTCAGTCTTTGGTATTATCACAACATTTGTTTACACAATTCTTTCTTTATTTTTAATGTGGGGGGACAGAGAGAGGAAAAAAGCGGCATTTCCTTTCCTTTTTGCATTTTTAAAAGGCAAAAAGAAGTTTCAATTTCAAGGGATATGGGGGAAATAATAGAAAGAAAAGGGCTAAGAATTAAGCGGGCGGGGCAGGGATACAATTCCAATGTTTGTGTGTGTGTTTGTGTATTTATGATACGCCCAAATCGTGTAGCAAATGCTGTGTAATAACTTCACTTTGTTCTTCCATGAGTTGAGCGGTCACCGTATTAATCAAATTGAAGACAATTGCAAACACGGTGAATGCACAGTAGATACCGAGAGCCAACCACCAAATGAGATTTTCATAGGTGCGATGCTCGAAATTTTTTAGCACCAAAAGACCAATGGTCAGACCAGCCAATGCACCGGTCAAATGGGCAATATATGAGACAGGAGGTGCCTCAGTGTTGTTGCTGCTGCTGCTGCCGCCGTTGTCAATGGCCAGATATTGTGTATAGAATGCATATCCCAGATCGCACAGTACTAAAAAGAGAACAAAAAAGTGAAAAAAATTAGTAATGTTTGAGAAAATAATATTTTCAAAATTATTTTTGGGTGAAATAAAATTTGAAAGTTTTGCAGCTTGATTGTGAAACTTACCAAATATCACCACTGACAGTAGCTGAGCTACAGCATATTTCATTTGGCCATAGTTCAAGGTAATATTGGCCAAATGGGCTGCCAAAATGGCATAAACGCCACCACTAGCGCCCACCAAATAGACTTCAGAGTCCACCACACTCGTCCCCAGCGAGCCGGCAAAGACACCAGCAAAATAGATAACGGCCACCCTTATCGAACCATGCATTACCTCCAAGGGAATGCCATAGAACAGCTGGATGACCACATTGAAACCCAAATGGAACCAATTGGCATGTAGAAACATGTAGGAAATGAAACGCCACACTTGTAGGCGACGATCTGGACGATAGATGAACACCGAATCGGTGGGTATGGCCAGGGGCAAATCCAACGCTGTGGCCGCGGCGTCTTTGTGCACAGTCATAATGTCATAGACAAAGACGGCGATCTGAAAGTGAAAGAAAGGGAAAAGAAATGCAATTAGTAAATTTGTTTTATGAAAATATTATTTTCTATTTTTTTTTTTCAATTTTAAATCAATAACTGATTTTTATTTCCAAATGTTGGGGGGGGGATACTTACTTCTAATAGCGAAATCATTAAAATGAAAATTGGCCAATTTTTGCGTTGCTGATCAGCTTTAAAGTAAACAGCTTCCAAATCGGCTGTGGCTGTTGCAATGTTGTCATGCTTGTGCATTTGTGGCGCCCGCTGCATGTAAAGATGCTCCTGATGTTTGGTGCAGCAGGTGGCACTGTTCACACTGCTATCCGTATCATACGATGATGAGGATGATGATGAGAATGTTATCGATTGTGGAATGTCTATGATAATCGATTCAAAGGTGGAATCCAATGAATTCTTTTCATGTGTTGTTGATGTTGTTGTTGTTTGAGCCATTTTTTATTTCAGGTCAAGTCTTTTAACTGTAAAAGAAAAGCAAAATTAATTACTTTGCTAAAAGATGAAGAAAAACAATTTTGTTTACAATAATGTTTTTGGCCTTAGAGGAAAACTCAATTTAAGAGGAAATGCAGTGCGTAATTTTCCTGGTGCTTTTTTTGTAACAAAATAAACTATTTATTTAACCCGAGGTTGGTTTGTTGGTTGGTTTGCTCTAAAAAACTTTTATTTACATGAAATAAATAAATTCGTTGATAGAACAGTGTTTTTTGTAGTTGTTTACAAAACACAAACCGACTAACCTAGTTTATGGTGTTGTTGTTGTTGTTGTTTTTGTTTGTGTGATGTTGAGAGCTGTGGCAGATATAAAACACAAACTCCTGCGGTGCTTTCATTTTGCTTTATGAGATTTTAATTGAATTTAAATTTTATGAAAAAAAAGCTATTCGAATGAAGCAAAAAAATTAAGACAGACAATAAACAGATAATATTTGACAAAACTCAAAAGAAAAAAATCAAGGTCTTTTTTTTTGTTGGAATAATTCTTTTGTTGTGATTAGATGACTAAAGAAAATTGTCAAAGCCATTGTCGCTATCATCATCATCATCAAGATCGCAATCACCAAGCAAGCAGTGGCTGTCTCATTGTCAGTCAATGGCTCAAAACATCACAAAATTATGTTTAATCGCATTCGTTTCAATTACAGTGACATTTACTAACAAAAACAAATCATTAAATTCCTATTATATTCGCCACATGATGAAAACAAAAACAACAACAACAATACGAAAAACACGCACTCGGGGCAATAAGAAAAACAACAAGAAATAATGGCAGAAATTATGAAAACCTTAGCAACCATCATCAAATATTAAGTTTGAAGGGGGGCTATTTCGGCCACTGCTAAACTTCCAAGGAATTTTTCAGACTCAAAAAACGAAAAAGTTCACACAATATATTTTCGTTAAGCTCTCTTAACACAACTTGGTCTTGGATTGTGTCACACATGAACATAGTTTCTTTATTTTATGCTTAAATTGGTTTTAATGACCAAGCACTAAAGCAAGCGGTGGGAAAATTCGGTTGTTTTATTTTGTCAACATAAGGTTGTTAATAAACTTGTTATCATGCGCACAATACACACACACACACAGATGAAAAAAAAATGTTAGAAATAAAACCCAGAAATGAAATAATAGTTGCATGTTTGTTGCAGGTATAAATCGAGTAAAGGATAATATGTTGAGAACGAACTTATGGGAGCTTGACTTGGAAAATAATTTATGGTCATTTACATGATTTTACAAATTTGATAAAAAAAAATAAAAATTCCAAAAAATAAATAAATAAAAAAATAAATAAATATACAAAATCCATTTAATCGAATTAAAAAAAAAAACTTAAATTACCAAAAAACTCAACATATATAACAAAACTGCGTTGAAATTTTATTTTTATTTTTTATTTTTGAGTTGGTCTTTTATATTTTATTACAATTTTATTAAAAAAAAATTCCAAAAAACAACATTTATTATTTTTTTACATGATTTTAGAGTTTTATTAAAAAATATACCAAAATTCCAAAAAAAAAAAAAAAATATATAAAAAACTTTAATTTCCATTTAAGGCAAATTTTTATTTTGCAACAAAATTTTAATTTTTTTTACATATTAATATACCGTTTCTTTTTTCAATTTTGTGTTTTTGTAATTGTTTTGCACGAATGCCATTCAATTAAAAGAAGAACGCTAATCACTTTATTTATTAATTACGAAAACCATTTGAAATATTTTGATGCGAAACCAAAAAAAAAAAAATCCAACACGTTAGTTTCAAACATATCATCATGCTGCCTGCCTTGCCATGCCAGCCAGTGGCTTTTGGCGCTTTACGTGTTTGCAACATTTGCGAAATGAGTGAAAAAAATCATAAATAGAAACAATAGTCAAACTGTAAAAAAATACAATTGCATGTGGCAAAGCTGGGTGTCCGTCCAAGCGTTGCTTGGTGCCTGACTAGTGTAAAACATTAAAAAAATCATTTTCTTTAATAAAAATGTTATTATTAACGATGATCGCAATGATGAGATATAAAAGAGAATAACTTGAAAATTACAAAAAAAAAAAAAATAAAATAAAACTGGAGAAAATATTATTTTTTTAAATAAAAGAAAAAAGGAAAGCTAAAAATATTCTTAAATGTGTGTATGTTTACATTAGAGCTTTTTTTCGGATTAACCCAAAAAATAGCCCTAACGTAAAAATGCCTAAAAATTTTAATTTTGTATTTTTTTGGAAGTATTTTTTGATCAAACTGGGTTTTCTGTAGGCTTTTGAAAACCCCAAAAAAGCTATAACGTGAATATGCCCTAAAAATGTTTAGTTTCCTTTTTTTAATTTTTTTTAAGGTTTAATATTTTTATTTTTTCTTTCTTGGAATTTTTTTTATAGTCCGAATTTTCAATTTTCTCTCTGTTTTTTACATAAGTCACTATTTTTAATTTTTTTCATAGTCCAAAATTTCAATTTTCTCAATTTTTTTTTTTGGTTTTTCTACATAAGTCACTTTGCTTCTCAACAAATGAAAACTAGGCTCTATTAACCAATCAAACCTGGTGGTAATATGTGCATAACTAATTGCATGGCAATAACGGGTGAAGTAAAGTGAAATCTCATTAGAAAATCTAAAGCGTTTTTGAGGCGATCTTCTTCGTCTTCACTTCTTGAAAACAACAGGAGAATTGGAAAATTCAACATAAATTCAATTTTTCCACAATCCTCCAAGGCCATAATTTTTTTTCAGACTCTGTTTGTTGCCCATCAAACTTACCTTAATAATTATTTAAAAAAAATCCTCTTGTCAGCCAGGAGTTTTAGTCCACTTGTTTTTCGTTCTTTTGAGAGGGGAGAATAAATTTTCAAAACAGCTGCTGTTTTTTTTTTTTCGTTTGCTTCCTTGTGTTGTGTTGTGTTGTGCGTGCTGCTTGGTCGTAGTTAATAATCCAGACTTGTTGTAAGCGACCAACAACTTCTTAAACAATATTCGACGAGTCTTGGTTGGCCCACAAACTATAACTTTGGGCTTTTAATTCACTGAATTTTTGTTTCTCTTGCTTTCGTTTATCACTTTTTTCGTTTTTGTCTTCCTGGGGTCCCTTCACTCTATGACGGGTTGTTGACAAAATCGTATTTTTCTTTTCTGATGCACTTTTGCTAATTTTCGCTCAATTGCCGTTGTTGTTGTACAATTAAACTGATTGAAATTGGTTCGTTTCTTTTGTTTTGAGATTCTTGTTAATAAATGATTTGTTGTTGCTTTTGTTGGTTTAAACTTAAAATTCATTTTGAGCATAAAACGTTAATGTTAAATAATTCACTGTTTCTGGCGTTTTCCGTTGCACTCTTCACTTTTCAAATTTCACTTAAATTTTTGTTGAATTTTCAATCAGTTGTGCGTTTTCGTTGCTATTTTTGTTTTCCAATTTTTCTATATCGTAATGACATAAAAAAAACTTTTTTCAAACGTTGCTTAGTGATAGAACTTTATGTTTGTTGTTGTTGTCGTTATTGCTGGAGCTAGTAATCCACAAAGTTTTGAGGGTTGGTTGTTGGAGCATTGATACAATATTTTATTTTGGGGGTTGTGTTTTATACGAGTAATCTCATTGTTGTTGCTGCTGCTTTTGTGTAATCCACTTTTATTTGTGTGTGTGTATGTTTTGTAGTTAGGTAGATACGTTCTTGTTCTTGCCAACCACACCGTATTCTCTATTCCGTTTCAATTTCCACTCACTAAATACATCCTTCTACGTTCGCGATCCGTACGCAACTAACACAGAATATTAAACTGCCGGTCTTGAAATACTTGTTTGAAAAGCAAATCCACATTGCAAAGATACTGACTGGGCCAACACACAACATGCCAACGGCTGTTGTATCTTGTATAGATACAACCGGGCATAATCCCCAGAACAACAGCTGTTTTCATAGTCTGCCCACACCAAAAGACCAACCAACCAACATGTTGTGTGTGCTCGCGCCATCCATCAGTGTTTTTTTGTGAGAGGTGGGCCCAGTTCAACAGATTTCATTGAGAAAAAACCAGCAGTCAAACAAAGAGGCCAACACAACAATAGCAGATGTTTTCTTAATAACACAAAAACAAAAAGATATCGTCAAACCTCGAACATGTTGCATGGAACATATTTTGTGTTTGTGTTTGGTTTGATACAACCCAATAAGGCATGCAATAAACCAGTAGTTGTGCATGTGCACAATGCTCATTGTTGTTGTTCCTCGTCGGCACACAAAAACTATCTGCTTTAGGGAAAAACGGAAGCGGAATTTGGTTGGGTGTGTTGCAGACACAAAACATGTATGCACAACAGCAACAACAATAGTTTTACATAAAAATTTTATTGCTAACTTGCCTGGTGGTATTGTGCCCTACCAATGTTATGACTGTTTTCCAGTTTATGAGTGAAAACAAACGGCCGACAGACTTGGATACAACAAACAGCACAACAACAACAACCATCCACAGACACATACCACGGCACTACTTAACTGGGGGAATTTTGGAGTCTGCTTTGAAATTCTTTTTACCTGCAGCTGTGTGTCATACAGGAAATACAGACATGAAGTGACTCTCCAGAAGGTGCATTCGAACAAACTCTGAATGAAAAAATGAGGAACCAGCGAGCTGGCGATCGATCGATGGCTGGATGGATGGATGGCTGTTTGGGTTGAACGACGGATGGTACGTGCCACATGAATGTTAAATGTTTGGTTGGTTTTTTTCTGCCATTCTCATTCCTTTTGAAAACAAGTTGAGAATTATTAAATTAGAAACAACCAGCCAGCAACAACAACTCAGAACAGTGCAAAGCAATGGACAATCAATACAGAAATCAATTTACAATAAAAAGAAAAACCTATTAAATAATTAAACAGTTTTTCACTCATGTTTACATTATTCTTTACATTAATAAATCATAACTGAAGTAAAAAAAACATATTATTACAATAATAACAAAAATTCCATAGCCAATAATTACAAATTCAAGACAAATTCGTGGTTTTTAAGGAAGAGCTATTTTTTATGATCAAGATCAGGAAATCGAATATTGTATCTATGTTCTTTCATAATTCATTTTTTTTTAATTCTAAGAAATTTAATGTGTTCATTTATGTATAAAAATATGATCATTAATTCAACAATTTTTTCCAATAAAATATTTCTCAAATAAACTATTTTGAAACAACAAAATATTCCTTCGAGATTTATGTTTGTCGAGAATGAGATTCAAAGTCACCAAAGGCAAAGTCACCAAATTATACTGTAGGGCCAATAATGTTCATTTTCTATCGGGCCTAAATAAATATGATTGGTTACTTCCTTCACTTTACATGAGATATGTGATAGTTTTTAGAAAATGTTAATATGTGCAAGAGGTTCCATATATAGTCGACCGAAATATCCCATTTTCATACTTCATCTAACACAGATAAAAATATTGGTATTTTCAGATCTTGGGCTCATAAAAATAGGAGGATGCGTGAAATTTGAAGACAATTGGACTCTTACATCACATTTTATAAGAGTGGCAATTATTCATAATTTTACCCTTTGTGGGGGAGGTACTTGATGGAGTGGACCAATATTATCCATTTTCGCATCTTACGTAGCACTGACGCAAATATTAGTATTTGCAATGTTGGAGCAAAATCGGATTCTTTCTCTTTCTGTGCAAAAAATATATTTTTTTTAAATTTAGACCTTTGACCTAGCACTGACGTAAATATTAGGATTTCCAAAGTTGGAGCAAAATCAGATTATCGTTTCTCTTTGTGTGCAAATTTTTTTTTGAAGATTTCGACATTTTGGGGGGCTGTACCAGAAGGATTGGACCTATATTGCCCATCTCCGAACTCTGTCTAAGTTTGACAAAAATATTACGATGTACCAAGTTTGGACCAAATCGGATACTCCCTTCGAAAGTTATTGTGCGCACCAGCCAGACAGACGGACTCCAAATGTTCTGAAACGGATTTGGTCCAAAGAGACCTAGGGTCTAAAACCGTTATTTCGGCTAGGCACGTTTTTACCATATCAAATGATATATACCCTCTTCAGCCATATGGCTGAGGGTATAAAAATCGAAAATATTTTCGAATTTTTTGGGAACATTGATGCAAATATTTTTTTGATATACAATGAACAGGTATTACTTTTCTTTAATAAATTACAGTGAAATTCGATGTGGAATATTTTTTGTCTTATCAATGTCTTTTCAATATATACGAAATTTTGACGTAGTAAATTTTAGGACCTATAGTAGAATATAATGACAAATAATTTTGTAAAATATTTTTACCCACCTTTTTAAAAAAGGACCTAAAAGATCCCGTTGTTGACTCACTTGAGGGTAAAAATTTTCTATCTAAGTATTTATCGTATTTTTATCTGCAATATTGCCAAAGACACCTTATACGTAAAATGTACGGATTCCGAGGAATCTCAAACTGAAAAGTTTCCAAAAGTGTTGATGAGGGCAAACTTTCCTCATCTATTTGAGTTACTTTGTGATGTCGCGATATTCCCTATAATTATTGAAAAAGTTGAATTCTGTCGCACAGTGTTCTAAAGATAAAAACTATAATTGTTGCCATAGGCTATATTAATTTGTAATTATCAATTATATATGAAGTCTTCAAAAAGCTTAAAAAGAATTTATATTTGATTCTTCAATAAATGTTGTCCTTATTTTTTATAAGAAATATATATTTTTTTTTGAGATTTGTTTTTTTTTTAAGTTTTTTACTGACATATATTGGAAAGAAGAACTGTAGCCATATTCTGTAACTATTAACTACTTTGGTTATTGCTAAAATTTCTTTTGTTATTGTAACAAAAACAAAACAAAGAAATGAATTTTTTGTAAAATAAAAAATGAAAAAAGTTGTTAAAAAGTTAATTACCAAGGACAATTTTATTTGAAATTTCTATCATATAATTGAGTTTTATAAAGTCCATTCAATTATAACAATTTTCGTTGTAAACGGCAAATTTTATTGTTAATTTCTATTACACCAAACCCACCAGTAAATTATTCATTGAAAAATTATTATTATTATTTGATGACAAATATTGAAAATATGATTATTTTGATTTCATTCGAAACAGGTTTGTTTTCTTCGTTGATACAACGAGTTTGTTTCAAACATATTGTATGTTGCAAGTGTATAAGAGTTTGTCCCAAATTATCACAGCCGCCTACAACAAGTTTGATGTGTGATACTCATGATAAAATAAATATTTGTAGGTTCGTTTAACCTGTATTTTCAAATTGGTTTTAGATGTCACTGAACTGCACCAGAGTTCGGTTGTGTGTGGCTGGTTTATTTTGGATGTTGTCTGTTCGAGCGTGGTTTACTTGGATTTATAACAAACAAAAGTAAAATGTTATTTACGTAAAATATTGAAAATTGTGCGAAGAAGTCTAGATGTACCATAATATGATTCCGAAAGCAGCTGTAACAGAAAAAGAAATTGTTGCTTCTTCCAAAACGACTGAAATAAATAGGATCGGATTGAATATTGTAAAATAAATATAGGCACTTAATTGTATAAAAAAATGTCCGATTTGTGGTAGAAATGTAATAATGCTAAGGATTATTCAAACTGTTATAAATATGGAAGAAATTTACTTAAGATATAGAGGTGTGGAGGTTGAGTAGAAAACAATTTCAAATGTTGCAGTTTACGCTGGATATTTATTAGCGGCACTTGTTTATTCCGCCAATAAATCGATATTCGGTATTTTCATGACTTTAGCGACATTATTAACCGGGATTATTTCAAATTTCGTATTTCAAGTTCGTAATGGGTACTACAGCCTATGACAAAATTTTTTGTATGCTGGTACAAGTCTTCGTACAGCCCCATATAACGGAACCTTTTTGCGACACAATTCACCGTAATTGTAACAAATTTCGTATTTAATGTACGAAATGGGTACTACAGCCTATGCAGGTCCACATCTTCGTATAGTCCCCATATAACTGTTTTAATTTAAGTGGTAGTTTTCTGATTTTTTTGAAATTTTTGAAGTTCCTTCCAAATGGTTGAGGGAGGGCAGAACTTAACTGCTTTATGTTTGAACCTCCAAAAATTTGTAAATTTTTATCACATTTCGTCATAATCAAATATCTTTAAACACCAAATATGAATGGAAGTGTTTTCTTTATGTTTGCATTGCGTACAATAATATGTGTACCCTCTTACCATTGCACGACCAATTATGTCAGGACCATACCTTCATTCAAATCATCCAAAGTGAAACATATTAAGCTGCGTTGGCAACAATTAAATACAAACACTTTCTTAATAATTTAAACCCTATAAATTTGATTGGGCCAAAGATTATATTACACCTCGAGATATTGGTCCTGCGTATAGGAAACAATATATGGATTTTCATATCTTGCCGAGTGGAGTCGATCTAGCTATGTATGTCCGTCCGTCTGTCCATATTTGATTTTAAACACGCTAATGGTCGCAATTATGGCCCGATCTTCATGAAATTGGAAATTGAGGTAAGGTTAGGGTCAGAATCAAAGCCTATTGTTTTTAGAGATGATCGCAAAATTTTTAATAATATTTATTTTGCAATGCACCAAAACAGAAAAATTTCCTCATTTTGCTGTTGCTCTACAGGTTACAGCTTTAAACAAATTTTGTATGGAGTTATAGTTTAGGGCTGGGCAGAAGCTCACCAATTTGGACGATCATAGGACAATATTTACCCGAAAAAGAACCATAACTTTTATGTCAACAAATACAAACCGCGAATATTTTTAGTCCCGGCCAAATCACAAA